GGCCCGGAATGGAAGTTCAAACGGCCCCGGCCGCTCGCTGAGGCTGGCGGCGGCGCCCCGGCCTTCCCCCGGGGCGTTTGGCTCACGCCGTGCTGCTGGAGCGTTGACATGGGCTGCCTTTACCGCCAGCGAGTAATAACGTAGCAGCAGAGTTGAAAGGCTTACGCAGTAAGAAACGCTGGCTTTCTAAAGATTTTTACACAGTAATTGCTGCTGCTGCCTTCAACTTGAGCGAGGCAAAACCACCGGACAGACAAGCTTTTCCCTGGCCAGTCTCCACAGGGCCCGTGGTTCTCTCAGCCTCCAAGAATTTGCACTATTCACGTGTCTGTGGTGGTGTGGTTCCTGACAGGTTTTGTTTTTCTTTTTTTTTCTTCTATGACTACTTCTTTACAAAAAAGGGTTTCTATTCTGCCAACCTACTAATCAGGGGAAAAGTTTTACCTCAGAAATACAGATTAATCCACAATGAAATTACCACGTTACTATGTTTTTCTCAGTCCAAGCACTCAAAAGCTTCACGAGCTGATTATTAGGGGCTTTAAGATATACAGGAAAACAGACAGTAACAATGAGCGAGGGAACTTGTAAACACAGTTGAAAAACTCAGTTCCTCAAAGGAACTGCAGCCATTGATCTTGGGGGGTAAACGGGAGCTGTGAGACTGCATGTCTGAGGGAAGCTGGCAGAACCACACACCAGAAAAAAACAAGAGGAAAGAAAAAAAAAAGCCGTAGGGGATCGCACTGCCAATTTATTGTGCATTTTGCCGGAGAAAGGGCACTGGCCCAACGCACAGCGCCGGGGGTGACTTCCACCCCACAGGGCCGTGGGCAGTTTTTGAAGTTTCTCTGTTGCCAACTAAATTCTGTCAGGAATGAAGGAGGGGGGAAAAGCCATTTCCCTCACGCGCCGCAGCGGCTTTCCTGTCACGCCGGGAGCGTGGCGAGCGAGGCGCCGAAGGCAGAGCGGCCCCACAGCCCGCGGGGCGCGCGCCGCCGCCTCAGCGCTTTCCCG